AATAGGAGTAGCTATAATTTTATTCCCTAAACAGGAGTATTTTTCAAATTTTACCCCTCTTCTAAGCGGATCGGCCCCCTCTTCTATGCGCATTCTCTAAACATAACTTCTCTTGCCCTACTACGCATCTTCTCCAGACAAATCAACTCCTCTTCATTCCTAATTTCTTCTCCCAAATCAACTACTCTTCTTTGATCTACTCACATCTCGGGTTGCTAGACGGTGTGCATTTTTTTTGCTAATCTCCTCCGGTTGAAAACCTGCAACAGTGAGGTTCTCGATACGGCGAGCATCAACGAACAACAAATCTGTATGTGCCGGAGAATCTTCCCCTCCTTTCTCCTCCTCCTCCTCCTCCTCCTCCTCTCATATGTCTCTCTTCCCCTCTTTTGTTTCATCGCAGTATGTGCTCTATTTCTTCTTTGGTGTTTGAAATTGCCAAATTTTACTCTGAAATGCCATCATTTTGGCATTCTGAGAAAAATGTTGGCATTAGCGGCAGGGTTGGCCGGATCGGCAGTGGCGACAGTCGGACATCCAACGGCGGCAGTCAGATTTGCATGGCCGACAGCTGAGGGCAGACAGATTTAGTCAGATCTACGACGGTGAAAGCCATACCTGCACCGGCGACGATCAGATCTGTATCAACGACATCCAGATCTAAGGAGGCGGCGGCGACCGGCGGCGACCGGCGGCAGTTTGGGTTCTGTCAACAGTTCTTTTTCCCGGGCTCTAGGGTTGTTTTGTCTAACTACAAATAATAACTCTACATTTAGGAAATTTTTAAAGTTTAGTCCTATTTTGACAATTAAGGATTTATTTAGTCTTGTTATTTTGGTAAATATCCCAATATTTTATTGTGATTTAATAAAAAGAATTGAGTTCTTTCTTAAAGAAATCTTTTCACCATATTATATAAGTTAATCTTTTATGTCTTCAATAATTCTAAAGCTCCAGTAGAGAAAAATAACAATGTATTGAAACACAATCTTTGAAAATGCTGATAACTATTAATGTTCAATGCCCTATTCAAACATATGCTACATGTTGTTTCTCTACTTCAAAGAAAACAAAATTTGGGGAGAAATATTAGCTCAATCATATACAAGTACAAATTTTGTTATATATCTCTTTAGTATTTATGCTATATGAGGTATGCTATTTGAGGGATGTATCCTTTTTAGTCATATAAATATCAGTATATCTAACCATATATATTTATATATCAAGTTGACTATAATTTTCTTCTAGCTGCACTCATACATTTTAGAATGTTTAGGATTATAACTCCCATGACGATCTTGATCGCAAATTATACCGTGGGATCGGCCCACCATGAGCAGGGTGTGCCGATCCCAAAACGACGGCGTTTTATACTCCGTATTAATTAAAACAGAGCTGACAAAAAATCACCGTCTTCTCCAACCGTCCAGCGTATGCTTCATCCCTGCGGCCAAAAATTTCCTTTGGTGGTACGAAGCTTCCTTGCTGGACATCCCTACTGAATCGAATTTCTTATACTCAGTGCATATGTATTACAGAAACGGATGTTAGCAGACAAAGAAGATACACAGAGCTTAAAATCTCAGATCCATTCATATATACCTCCATCTTCCTTATTTAAATGCATTTTGTTTGGGATTCACACTCTATTCAGACGTTTCTCTTCCCATATACATACTATTGGATTCTCATACAATTGTTCTTCTCACAATTACATTTGATAATACGAAGTACATGAAATTATATCTTTTTGTGTGTGAGTTACATTTTTATGTGTATGAGTTACATCTTTTTTACAAGCGAGTTACATCTTTTGAAGCGCGAGTTACATAGGGACTTGCCCCAACAAGTTACATTCTGTATACAACTAAGTTACATTTGCCATCAACGTGAGTTACATTTATAATAACGTGAGTTATATCAAAAAATCAACCTCTGGTATTAAAGCAAAAAATAGGATGATTTTTTTTAAATTCTTTTGATGGTCATGATATTAAAAACAAAACATATTCACGATTTACGTAAAGTAATTGTGCAATTAGACTTTTTTTTTTAATTATTTACATTGAAATCAATGTTTTATTTCTTATAATATGTATTTGACAAGTTACATTTCGAATGGACTTGAGTTACATTAATCAATAACGTGAGTTACATATCTTTACACGCGAGTTACATTATTCATGCTACTGGGTCAAAAAGAAAAAAAAGTTACTGTTCACGCGTTATTGTTCACGCGAATTTTTTTTAAAAATATTGTGCAAAACTACGTAGTTTCAGATGTGGAGCACGATGCTCACCGTGGGATGATCCCACGGTATAGGAACTCGATCTTGATTTACTTTTTGCTTCTCCGGCCATAGTTGAATCAAATATGGCAAGTAATTATTGTTTATTTATCCAAATATGTGTGTTTGTTCAACGTTAATTCAAAATTGTTTGTATATAGACATCATTCTCAAAAGTAGATGACACATTACAAAGCACCCCTTCTTCGACATCGAAGAGACATGCAATGATGATGCACAATGAGCAACATGTTGATGTTTCTACATAGAGTTCAATGAATAAGAAATTCAAGGGCATCAAAATTAAAAGACGGTACGGATACTTGAGTGCTGCATGTGTGGCTTTGTTCGTTTACGTTTCGGAATTGATGATATTTATGATTTATCCTATGTTAGTTTACCAATTTGATATTCATCACATTTTATTTTACCAATTTATAATTTACATTTTATCTTAAATAAAAAAGAAAAAGGCAAGTGTTATCCATTCATTTGCAATAATTAAATTAGTATCAAATAATATTAACCGTTGCACGGGTGAAAAAACTAGTTAATACTAATGATTATTAAGAGTTAAAGTAGTAACCATGATCAACGAGCATTTCACTAAGTGAAAAATAGCAAAATCAAAACTGATTATCTTTGATATTTTATTTCACTCATTTGATTATTTGATTTGGTTTCTGAATTATCAAAATAGCCAACCCCAATCTCTTACTTTTATTTATTACGCCTACAATGACCTGAAAAACACTTTTTTTTTAATGCGGTCACACACTTAGCTCGTGAAATAAGAGAAGATGTGAAAGTTTTGAGGGCACAACGGAGGGAAGAGTATTTGATCGGTGCATGAGGCGGATGATCAAACTCAAATTGCCATGTTCTATGTAGAGTGGGACAAAAGAAGAAAAATGTGCTGAGTCATGATACCTATGAAGGGATGGGAAAGAAGAAACAACCGTGATTTCAATAAGATAGATTCTATATACCTTAAGCTATCATACATTTGTCAACATGGACCAATCAGAATGATGCAGTTGAATTATTTAAATCTAAATTAAAAATGATACTCCCTTCGTCCCAAAAAGCTTGGCCAAAGTTAACTTTCACATGGATTAATAAAATAAAAACTGTGTGGTTGAAATTTGTACAAAGGAGTGAAAATTAACTTTAGCCACATATTCCTCACTTGAAATACAAATGACAATTTTTTTGGGACATCCAAAAAAGGAAATTTGGCCAACTTTTTCGGGATGAAGAAAGTATAATGATTTGGATCAATTAATTGAATGGTAGGTATAATATCCTATTTTTTAAATGGATACTGGAGTTGTCACCTTTCAACAATTGATTCATGACGAGCTCTTAACAAAAAAACATAACATAAATTCATCCTGCGAGTGCAATCTTTAAACTATGGTGAGCATAGCGGCCTCCTACATAGTCCGAAGCTAGGTCACATTTCTTTCAAAAAAAAATGACACCCCATCCCTGAGGGCCCCCCAACACCGACCGGACAACACGATGGGAGGATGTAAATTGGACTATAATCACAGTCTGACAGATAAAGAGTGGAGCTCTGTCCCCGGTACTTGCAGAAGCTCTTGCATTTTTCAGCATAGTAACCCCTCATCGCAGTTGCCAGGATTCGAACCCGAAACCTAACCCTTGTGGCACTCTCTCGCTACCAGTTGAGCTACGCCCACCGGTGTCCACTCCCTCACTCCCTCACTGGGTGATGAATTGAAGCCCAAAGTGTTCATATGCTTGAGGAGAGATTTAAGCTCTAGGAAGCGCATAATGTATATTTACCTCAAGAATACACATCATCTTAGTCATCCATGTGACCATGTGTACACTTAATTCACAAATTGGGTATGAGGTTTCAAGGTTTTATACTTATAAGGTACATGAATCGGGACTCGAATAAGATTATTACAATAAAAAAAACTATAATAGGGAGTAGGGTTATTATATTGAGAAAATACTACAAACTTTGAGAAAATAGATTAGTAACGATTAAGGGACCGTAAGCTCGTTCGTCTTGGTAATAATTTAGGTCCCCTAAATTATTGTACTCTACGCCACGAGAGCGGTAAGAACTTAGTAATGATTAGCTAGACTCAATTAAATTAAATTCATGTAATTAGGCTCGATCTTCCAGAAATCTGGTTACCTCGGAATCAATACGTGTTCCCTTCGTCGTTAATTAGAGAGAAACCAATCTTTTTATTTAATCATTCATTCGCATTAGTTATTTTCAATCAATCAATCTCGCACAATTGTATTTTATTTAATTTTCTGTTTAATCGCTGAATTTAGTTAATTCTTATTTCCCTTTTGTCCGTCCCTGTGGAGACGATACTCGTACTTCAACCCTTAACTACGATCTATTTTAAATGCGAGAAAACTCACATCATTTTTTGGCATTGTCTGAAACTTGCGCATGTAATGTAAAATTGTAAATATCCCAAACTTTATATAAAAAAATATTTTTCTCACCATTGTCATGTATTATTTCATCCAAAAATGTAACATTATTGATTTCACAATGGAAGTTTGTAATGTTAATTGTGTCTTTATAAATTCTAAAATATTTTAAATTATACAATTAACATTATAAATTTACATTTTTAAAATAAATAATACTTAATTATAGTGCCAAAATAACTTTTTATATGCTCAATAACCCCTATACAATTATATGCTTAGGGGTATTCTAAAGTCTGCTCCTCCTCCCCAACTTCTCCATCACTCTCCTCCCTTCCTTAACGGCGGCCTCCGCAATTCTCGTCGCCCCCGGCTAACGGAAGGGCTCCCTGATATCTGCTCGGCTTCAATTTGCGCTCACGGTCTTCAACGCTGTTAGTTTCGTCCGCTTAACCACTCAATCCTTGATTGTTGAATTTGTTGTTGAATAGAGGTCTAACTTAGAGAAGGTAAAGTAATGGCGTTCACTTTTTATTCGTATATAGCCTTGTCCAACCTTTTATCCATTTCTAATTTAGGGTTTATATTTAAAATCGAAGTGGATTTTGACTGATTTCACTCTCCATGTTTTTTTCTGAACAAATATACGGAGTTAGAGTTATTGGCTTGAAGTGTTTTGTGCTATTTTGATGTTTTGGTAAGACTATTAAATTCCAAAGATTCTTCATTGGTGCTCATTTGTGCCTTTGCATTCATGGTGTTGTGATATCATAGCTTAGCACAGAATAGGGCTTTCTGTTTTACATTACTTTTCAATTCTTTTGTGGTTTTTTTCTCAACAATAAGGTGTTTTTATTCACTCAGACCTCTTTAGATGGGAATGCGGAGGAAATTTATTTGTGCTTCTATATATTACAGAGTAATAGATACTACTTTTGCTATGTAACTAATGCTAAAACAATGAAAGAAAGAAAGAAAGACAGCCTCTTGGCGTTGCATTGAACTGGCTTTTGAGGCCATGGTTATGATTTCGTAGGAATGGAATCAAAGTTCTTTCGCTTCCTAAAGATAGTTGGAGTTGGTTTCAAAGCAAGAGCTGAAGCAGAGGGGCGTTTGTTATACCTAAAACTGGGTTACAGCCATGAGGTTGAGCTGACTGTTCCTCCGGCTGTTCGTGTGTTTTGCTTCAAACCAAACGTGATCTGCTGCACAGGGATTGATAAGCTAAGGACTCATCAATTTGCTGCAGCCATCAGAAGCTGCAAACCACCAGAAGTGTACAAAGGGAAAGGGATAATGTACATTGATGAAGTGATTAAGAGGAAGCCGGGAAAGAAATCGAAATGAGTTCTTCAGGTTCATTTATTTGTACCCACTTTTGTATTCAATCTATCTGCTGAAGATAATATGACTGGGTGTCCTGGATTTCCTGATTTTTTTTTTGTTTTCTTCTTGATATAAATTGTCATTGTACTCTAGTTTCTTCCAAGAGATTTTTACATCACGGTGTCAGTTTCATTTTAGAAGGAACTAGTTAATTCCCTGTTTGTGTTCAATCAATTAGAATCTGATATGAAAAATAAGTTAATTGACGAAGAGCTTAGAAAAGAAAGCCAACTAAAAGTTGGGATGTTGAGATATCTGCAGCTGTATTTATGGGTAGAAGATGTTTATACTCATCAAAAGGTGAATTCACACACATTAGATTAAAACAGAATATGATCTTATACAAGAAATGGGAATGAATCTGGTTCATTGTATTTTGAGATCTAAAAGGTCAAAAGATGCCAACAATACATACAATCTAATAAAAGTGCAGTGACATTTATACTAATGGAGACTCAATTTTTGTGCAACATAAATTGCTCCAAGTATAAATGTGTACATTGATGAACTAAAAGTGCACCTTTTCACATACTTCTCATTTCATGCAAGAATTATCATTCTTACCGAAACCACACCCTATATACATACATACATACATTGAATTTGTTAATTAGGAAGCAAAGAAAATGGGTTGGTCATACTTGTTGGCTGAAGTTGCACATTTTTGCATTTTTTTGTATTTCTTCAACTCTTCAAGTATTTCTATCTTTATTTTATCAATGGATATACTGTAAATATTTTCTTCTTTACAGTTAAACATATTTAGCAACTTCATGGTTATATGACCTGCCGTTTCAGCTGAATTCACGCTGATTGAACAAGCTATAAGTGATGGTGTTAGTTTGGTGTTCTTTATTCACAAATGAAGTTTCTTTTTCTCCTTGAAGCTTAGGTGTCTCATCTAGACATCAAGCTGACATTGTATTTCTAATATGCTCCACCTTATCATGTGTTTGGTGATTCTTAAAAACAACTTTGTAATGTGTAAAAGTTCCCAACTTGACCAGCCCAGTTCTCATCTAGACATCAAGCTAACATTGTATTTCTAATATGCTCCACCTGATCATGTGTTTGGTTTTGCAGTGATGCTAGATTGCTTGGTCCCATACTCCCAATCCATAGTTTGCCTATATCTTTAAAGATCACTGCTTAAGGCCGGTAGGCAACATGCCATTAGTCAATTAGTGCAACTGATTTACCATTTTTTGCGTGGGTGTATAACTTCTCATTATTTAACGACTTCAATGGAGCATATACGAATTAGGCTGTGTTTATATGACCATTTCAGTTTATTTTGAGCTGAGATTTAATAAATTGAAACAATTAATTCATGTAGCTCTGTTTGGATGAATATTTGAACTTGACTAATACTTGAGAAGATGATTTGACGCATCTTTCACTCTTAGCATTTTAGTCCAACCTTTTAATTTGACATAAGTTCATGTCAATTTTTTTTATCATCCTCTCATTTAAAAATATCTTATTTTCCCTGAAACATAAGGTTTATTCTAATTTTACATTTTTTATTGTTACTTGAGTTGTGTAGCCAAACAAAGTTACTTAGTTCAGTTGACACATTTTGAGCAACTTCAATTCAACTTTAGATAACAATGTCTAATTCATTTCCCATCTTTATTGATCGTTAATTATTTTTATCGACTTACTGCAAATATAACGTAATGTGAGTATATCAATGCATTATGCATAATGCTCGTCTCTAAACAATTCAGGACTGTTTTATATACGGAGTAGTTTTTTTAGGAAGCATATATTATCATTTACCGAATCCTTTATCTTCATTCTTCATGACTCATGAGAAATAGTGCATTTAGTATTTCAGTTATCACATCATCACCTTTTCCATCTCTCCATTATTAAACAACGTTGCGTCTTTAGCTTTTTGGTGTATTTTCAGTGGACCATTCTTGGTGTACACAAGTTGTACACAAAATGTGTACATTGTCTGTGTACACAGACAATTTAACATCAAGTACTGCTCATTTTTGAACGAATTGCCTGTGTACACAGGCAATTAGGGGGGTTTTGTGTACAACTTGTGTACAACTCATGTACACTAAGCATTTTTCATTTTCAGTTAAGTTCGAAAGCTGAGGGATAAAAAACTACTTTTCAATAGTTTTTGGATTGCTACAAATGCATTTCTTAGGTTTGAAATTAAATCAAGATTGAATAAGGATGATTGGCTGAATCACAAACATTTGAAGATGATAATATAATATCCATCTTATACAAAACTAATTATCACTCTTCTTACTTATTTTTCTTTAATTGATATAATGTTTTTATTTCCATCATTTGCGATGGAGCCAAAAATTCACTATTTTTTGCTTGAAAATATGATAGAATAAAGAAAAATGGTTCACTAAGTTGTCTGCGCTTCTTTGTTATGAAGTTGCAGTCAGTCCATACATTTTGGTCGTGATTTTCACTATGGATCATCCGTAAACAGTCTCTTTGTGCTTTGGTACAGGGGTAAGACTGCGTACATCCCACCCCCTTACCCCACCGTAAGTGCGAGTCTTTGCGGCACTGGGGTAATGATGATGATGATATGCTGTTTTTATTTTAACATCAGAATACAAAATGTCAAAATTGACACCGCATAGTAAGAGCAGGCATTAAAGAAAATTCACTAAATAGAAGTATAACATGAAACAATTCTTTAAATAAGAGTGTCGTTGTTTTCGTCTCAAAATAAGATAATTCTACTCCTAAATATTAACTTCGTTTTACTCAACTTTGTCAACTTGATGTTGGGTGTGAGACAGATTAGTAAAAATTGTGTGGTTTATGTTTGTGCAAATGAAAGAAAATGAATAGAGCCACAAATTCATTGACTTAAAAGAAAAGTGACAAATTTGTTTGAAACAAACAAAAAGAAAAATTGGTAAAGTCCAGTGGAACGAAGGGATTGTGTCATATTTTGGTATGAGAACATATTTAGTCCATTTTTTTACAGTTGTTCTAAACATCATTAAAATTGCGCAATGCAATTACGCAATGAGGCGCGCCTCACCCAACTTCGGCAGAGGCGCATTATTGCATGGCTAAAGGCGGAGAAGATGAAACCTACGTTATATGGCGCAGAGGCGTATGCCTTCATCGATGCACAACAAGGCGTGGTCGAGGCGTTCCACGTTCGACTTAGGAGCTTAAGTAGATTTATGGGCCGATAGGGCCCACTTTTTATTTTTTTGAGAATGTTTCACAAGCTGACCAAAAAATGAAAAATAATATCACTTTTCACAAGCTAACATTTTCCTTTCAATAATAGACCTAAACTTTTTTTAAAAACGTATCATTAAAACTTAGAAATTGAAGAATGTTTTTTTGAAAGGTTTTTTTTTTGTCGTATTTTTTGAAAGGTTAGAAATTGAAGAATTTAAAAATAAAAAAAGTAGAGAACTTCAAAGAAATGATATAAGGGTATAAATAATATGTATAAATAAATTTTCTGAATCTCAGAAATTATGAAATAAGAGATTGATAAAAAGAAATACAAAAAATAATGTAAAAAGTACTCCGTATAAAGAAGTACTAAAAATATAAATTTATAGGAAATAAAAAATATGAAAATAAAATGAAAATAAATAGAACATTGGAAAAAAGTATAATTTTTTTTACATAAATAACACGGTTGAAAATAATGTAAAAATTTTATTTAATGACCTGGGAATTGTATGGGATTTGTAAAGATATAATGTTTATTTTTTCTGAGATCAATCATGACTAAATATTTGAAATCTTGGATTGGGTTCAATATTTCAATGATATGGATTTAGATTTTCTAAATTTATGGAAATAAATAGGGCATTAGAGCTTTTTAAAACAATTAAAGGTAAAACAAGTAAGTTTATCCCTCATCATTCATGCATGTTAACCACAAAAGCATGTTGAGAACCTTTTTGAATCGGATGCCATTACATTAGTCATCTTTAATGTATCCTAAAAGCTCATAGAGCATTGTATCAAACATTTGATTTTGGTTCCTCAAATTCTCATTTACTCTTTTCTAACTATTTTTCCCCAAAATTATAGTGCCCAATAAAAAATCAATATGGCTTGACTTAACTTCATCTATAGTTAACTTTTAACTTTAAAAAAATTAAAAGGTAATAAAATGAAAGAAAAAAATAGTTAACTTTTAAAATAGTGCTTAGTAATACAAATAATCATTTCATTATAACTATATGGCACAAGAATGACAAGAGGTCACAAGACACGTACACACTTCCATTATACATCACGTTACCAGGGGCGTAGCTAGAGGTCAACTTAGAAGCTGTTCTCTTCACCTGATTTGAATGCTTCTGATCTGAATTTTTTAAGTTCTGATCTGATCTGATCTGAATTTTTCTGATCAGATATGATCTGATCTGAATCTTTCTGATCTAATCTGAATGTTCCTGATCTGATCTGAATATTCCTGATCTGATCTGAATGTTTCTGATCTGATCTGAATGTTTCTGATCTGATCTGAATCCTTCTGATCTGATCTGAATCTTTTTGATCTGATCTGATTTGAATATTTCTAAAATTATAATTACAATTATAATTACTATAATTATAAATGTAATTACACATATATAATTTAAATATAATTATAATTATAATCATAATTAAAAAAATTATAATTATAATTACAAACATAATTATAATAGGTGTAATTATTATTATTATACGTATTACACTAGTTATAAATATAGATATAATTACAATTGTAATTATATTTATAGTTATATTTATTTCTATAATTTTAATTTTAATTATAATTATAATATTTATTTCTATAATTTTAATTGTAATTACTCCGTATAATATGATAATAACGAAAACAAAACTAATAACAATAACAACAACAACCATATTAGTAGTAAGAATAATAATAATCATGATAATAATAAATATCATAATAACAATAATAATAATCATAGTAATAATAATAATAATAGTAATAATAGTAATAATAATAATAATAATAATAAATAATAATAATAATAATAATAATAATAATAATAATAATAATAATAATAACAATAATAATAATAATAACAATAACAACAACAACAACAATAATAATAATATCAATAATAATATTAATTATAATAATTACAATAACAACAAGAATAATAATAATTATAATTATTATAATTATTATAATTATTATAAATATTATTATAATAATAATAATAATAATAATTATTATTATAATAATAAAAAGGATAAATCATGTCTGAACTTTTCTGATCTGATCTGAACTTTCCTGATCTGATCTGAATGTTCCTGATCTGATCTGAATGTTCCTGATCTGATCTGAATGTTCCTGATCTGATCTGAATGTTTCTGATCTGATCTGAATCTTTCTGATCTGATCTGATCTGATCTGAATTTTTCTGATCTGATCTGATCTGAATAAAATAAGAATAAGCAATAAGTAATAAGATTAAGACGAACAGAACAGCTTCTTAGGCCCAGGCCCAACCTAGTGTACCGCTCTGACTACGCCACTCCATGTTATCAACATTTGATCACAATTTTATTCTTACTGTATCACAAAGATGGTGCACTAGTTAGATTTATAAATGAACCGAATATCCACCACTTTTTAGTGCCCAATAAAAACTCACCATTGTTTAACTTAACTTCATTTGTGATTAATTCTTTTTTTAAACAATGCTTAACACTAAGAACACCTATTCATTTACAACTATATGATATGCCAATCATTCAAACTAAAAGACCACCAACTCAGATACAGCGTACCACACGAGTACGGAAGGCAAATCAAGACCCATCTTTTATTTATGGGTAAGAGACAATCCAGCTCATTTCAAATTGGGGTCAAAGTGATTGAAAATCATGCAAGGAAAGGAGAAATAAGATCCCTCAATTTTAGTTGTTCACTTTATGCATTTTCCTTATTTATTTACGTAGCACTACATCTTGTATAGTGGAGAGCATCCCAGAAAATAAATTTCAGTTTATTCTTGCCTTCCTGGTCGAGAATTTGGAGTACGTACACTCGAAGTACGATTAGTCAGAGATTGTACTTGCTCGAAAAGTACTTTTGATACTTTAAGGCGTATCAACTGGTGCTTTCATTGACCTCACCTCATCGACCATGTCCAGCGAGCCAGTCAGCCCTTCCTGGGAGAAATCCATCGCCGACCTCCGTGATGAATTACGTGAACAAGCTACCTATACCCATCACACAACGCATGCCTTTCAACGCACCATCCAGGATTTAACACACACCATTGAAAGGCTTCAAACCACTGTCGGGTCACCCTCTATTCCTCCTCCTTCCATTACTCCCACTGATATAACCACTGTTCCTACTCTCATCCCAAAAATAGCCCTTCCAACCTTTGACGGTACTGATCCGCATACTTGGATTTTCCAGGCTACAGAGTGTTTTGAGTACCATCAAGTTCCCGAGGCTCAACGCCTATCCTTTGAGTCATTCATGATGGAGCGTGAAACCTCTGAATGGCTTCGGTGGATGAAGAATAATAACCTTCTTCGTTCGTGGGCTGAATTTTTGGAACAGTTGAAGCAGCGCTTTGATCCGATGCATTTTGAGGATTTTGTGGGCAAATTATCCAAGACCAGGCAACTCACCACGGTGGCAGCATATCGGGCAGAATATGAAAATTTATTAAACAAAGTGACGGGTGTGCCGAAGGCGATTTTGATATCAATGTTTGTTGCCAGACTCCAATAGTCCAATCCACAGTTGGACATGAGGGGCAACGAGCCAAACCAGACACTTTAATCCTCACTTTTTCCCCGTCCAGCGAGATTAAGGCTCAACATGGGGACTTATTGACGAGCACTTTGTCACGGTGCGTCAAAATAAAATCAATGATAGCACTTATACGTAGTATAGGTGAAGTAGAGTTCGTATCCACATTAAAAGGAATAATTCTCTTTTTACAAAACTAGAAAATCAAAGGGGGTTTTTAGGATTGAGTGATATATTTTAATGAAACACCAAGATGAACAACTTATATGTGATTCAATTCAAGAATAAAAAGGACTTGTCTTCCTACTTTCCACTTATTGATATATTTTAGTCGGGGTTTTTTACAAGAATATTACTAAAATAAAACATATTTACATAAATATAACTATTCATTACTACAATGTAGTGTTGTGGTAACTAAAGCTCAAAACTTGAACATGAATTACTATGATTTCATTACTACTCTAGTCACTAATCATACTTTTGTAAATCATCTTTATTTTTGTCATATTTATGTAATTATATTTTTAGTCGATCATAGTTATATCTATAACTTATCTCCTCTCGAATACTCAATCGAGGAATATCTCCAATTCATCGAGGGTAGTTATTAACAACGATCGTTCATTAATAACTCTTACTATTAGTCAAGTATAGAACACCGCCATATACCGACTTGATAGTAGCATTAATAATCTCTTAACTCCTTGATGAAATCAATTATGATTGATAACCTCAACACAACGGTTGCGGTTTAACCAACACAATTAATCACTCTTAAGTTTATTAACCACGACCGTGCATTACTAAACCGTAGTTACTTACATGTGAAACCATCAACGATTAACCATCGGTTCGTTGATCGTTTCTAGTAGTAATTAATGTCGAGATGTTAACTAATTGTCATCTTAGCAACACTCCCCAACATTAATATAGAGATAGATTAAGGAAAGAATTAATATTCAAGGGAAGAAGTTAAGAAAATAACTCACAACTTTAATAATCAACAAGCTTAAAGAGCAACATGCACCAAGAAATAAAAGTTTAGCTCCTCATTTGGAGACTATACATGCTAGAAAAATATAAAAGAAATATTATTCTAACTTGAGCTTAAGTATATGGAAGAAGGGATATCAAAATGGGAAGGAAATGATGTGTATTTATAGGTGTTTTGGTGAGGTTTGGTAGAATACCCGACCGGGTATGTCAAAATACCCGACCAGGCATCTGATCAAATCGGATTTTCGCACATTCTCTTGCTTTATTTGATCTTGTAAATCTCCGGGTCAAGTCATACCCGAATTTCTATCAATCTGTGATTCATATTCGAAAGTGTGAATTCGAATAAATAGATTACGAATTGGAATACAAATATGAATACAAGTATATTATATTCAATTTAAATAATATTCAAATGATATAAGATATACATAACACACACACAATACTAGCCGGGTATATATCAATAGAGCAGTTTTTATATTTATTTATTATTGTGGACTCCTTATGTAATTTTGACATTTATTTCTCTCTATATATATCTGCCAGGGCTACCAATATGGTTAAGCCTGGTAATTATTCTCACATGGTATCAAGAGCCAATACAATCCTACCCTAATTTTTTTTCGGCCGATGTCTTCCATCGATCCTCACAGCTCCGCCGCATCACAGTCTTCTCCAATCATGTCTGCGCCAGATTCTACTGCAGTTGCGACCGGCGAGCCTCTCTCTTCCGCAGCAGAATCATCTTCTTCTCAGCCTCAATTTTCTGCACCGGTGATCTCCCAACTCGGCCCTCTGCACTCGTCCCCATCTTTCTCCGTTTCAGAAGGAATGGCATGGGTTCCGCCGGTGTTTAATTGGTCCCCTACCAGGCCAACGATCTTCAATCATTCTGGCTCGTCGCTCGAAGATCGTCCAGCAGCTGTGCCCTTCTTCTCCAGCGCTCGGGTTCCATCTGTCGAGCCCTCAGGTTCTAGCTTCGCCGGCCCTACCTTCGCTGGTGCTCCGAGGATCTCGCCTCTGCTTCCTGCTGTTTCTCTTGGTCCCATTGGACCGCGCACAGCTACAGCACCATCTCCAGGTTTTAATCTTTCAGAACTTGTTAAAAACATTGGTTTTTCGGCGCTTAATATCACCAATATTGTTACTACAAAACTTGCTGCTGTCAAGGATTATTTGACTTGGCGTACTCAATTTGAGTCGTTTTTGGTGTCTAATGGATTCTTGGGAATTTTAGATGGTTCCATCCCGGCTCCTTCCCCCTATGTTTTTGATATTTATCATCAAGAGACAATTAATCCTGACTATCATAATTGGCTTAAATTGGATCAAACTGTGCGTTCCTGGTTGTTTGCTACGTTGTCTCGCGATGTATTAATTGAGGTGCGTGAACTTAAAAATGCATTTGCTATCTGGAACCGATTGGAATCCTATTTTATGTCTGCTAGTCTTGCTCATTCCATGGAACTGAAACGCCAACTTTCCCACTCTAAAAAGCGTGCTAATCAGCCCATGGAACACTATCTACGAGACATTAAGGATACTGCTGATCATCTTGCTGCCATTAATGCACCGGTGTCTCGTAGGGAGTTGTTTCAATATATTCTCATGGGTCTTGGTCGGGATTATGAGTCAGTCATCACTTCTGTAGACTTATTTCCGGATAGTTTTACGTTTGAGAATCTCCGTACTAAGTTGGTTGAGAAAGAGCGCACTATTCAATACATGAATGCTCAAGAGGAGACTCAGCCTATTCATGCCTTTGCGGGAAAAGTCCAGCCGGTTGCCCAGCCGCAACAAGGTCACGGTCAGCAGCAACCCGGTGGCCAGCAGCAGGCTGGAGGACAGCAGCAGCAGCACACTGTTGCTCCAGCACCTCGGGGCAGAGGCTATCGCGGTGGACGAGGTGGCCGCGGTCAGCGAGGTCGCGGTGGTCGTGGTCAGCGTGGTCGTGGTCAGCGTGGTCGTGGTTATCCTCATCAGTATGGCTATGCTTATCCTCCACCAGGCTACTTTCCAGGGGGTGCACCACATGCAGGCATTCTTGGGGCTCCTGGTTCAGCTGGTATGTCTGTTCAGTCAAATTTTTATACTTATGCCCTCTTTACTTTTGCTACTAACCGTGGTTATGCAGGCTCTTCCTCAGTTGAGGGAAATTCGGTTCCTCCTCCAGTTGTTTGTCAGATTTGCTATGCTCCAGGTCATCCTGCTTCCACTTGTCCTTCGCGTTTTATTCAGCCGGCTGCTCCTGCTCTTGCTGCTCAGGCCCCTGATGCTTCCGACTTGGTTTGGTATCCTGACTCAGGTGCCTCAGCGCATATGACCCCTCACTCAGGTATTTTGTCAAATAAATCTTTTTCTCCTAATTCGCATTCTATAATAGTAACAAACGGAACGACTCTCCCGGTTATGCAAACGGGACAGGTCTCTTTACCTTCTTCGCCAAGGCCTCTTCACTTAAAATCTGTTTTGCATGTTCCCCACATTAAATATAATCTTTTATCCATTCAGAAATTGGGTGCTGATAACAACTGTGCTGTAATTTTTGATAAAAATAATTTTTTTTGTCAAGGATTTAACAATGGGGGTGGTACTTCTTCGAGCTCTCAGTGATAACGGTGTTTATCCCATTCGTCAGCTTGCACCTCAGCCGGTTGCCCTCTCTGCTGCGTCCCTTTCCGTTTGGCACAATAGATTAGGCCATTGTGGTTCTCGTGTTTTAGATCAGCTAAGATTAAATAATTTTATTTCTGGCACTTCTGCTAATATTTCTGATTGTATTCCCTGTCGATTGGGCAAATCGCAACGGTTACCATTTAATAAAGTTTTTCATAATAGTCCATATGCATTATATTTAATTCATTATGATGTTTGGCAGTCTCCTGTACTTTCTCATTCATGATTTAAATATTATGTCTGTTTTGTGGATGATTTTTCTCGCTTTACTTGGGTCTATCCTATGCGGCTCAAGTCTGAGGTTACTACTCATTTTCATCACTTTAAACTAATGATTGAAAATTTACTTGACCTCAAAATTAAGATCTTTCAGAGTGATGGAGGGGGTGAATTTGATAACCTTACCATGCGAAAAATTGTCACTGATAGTGGAATACTTTTTCAAAAATCTTGTCCAGAGACTCCACAGCAAAATGGTGTTGCTGAGCGTAAGCATCGACATTTACTTGAATTAGCTCGCACTATGCTAATCACTGCTCGCTTGCCAGCTATTTTTTGGGTAGATGCCGTTCTTACTGCTGCCTTTATAATTAATAGAATACCCTCTCCTACTCTACATGGTTTGTCTCCTTTTGAAAAACTTTTTAATTTTCAACCCGATTTATCTTTTTTGCGTGTTTTTGGGTGTGCTTGTTTTACCAATTTTACTGCTTCCTCTGCCAATAAGTTGCATCCGCGTTCTGTTACTTGTATATTTTTGGGTTATGCGTCTGAATATAAATGGTACCATTGTTTTGATCCTATCTCTAATCGGGTTTATATTAGCAGAAATGTCAGATTCTTAGAAAGTATTTTTCCTTATTCTGATCTAGTACGTACCACTGTGTCCACTCCTACGCTGCCATCTCCTACATCCCTCATTTACTGTCCCAGCAGAGATCAGCATCCACCTCTTCCTACTCTTCCTTCACCCAATGTCCTACAACCTTCCCCAGTGTCTGACTTTCCTCATTCACCACTTCAATCGGCCAACACACATAATACACCAACTGCCAGATCACATCATGCCCTGCCTCCACCTTTTCCCACTCCTTCGGACCATCTACCAGGACCTAGTTCTGCGCAGCCTTCTGCCCAGTCTTCGGCCCACATACCAGACCCCACATCTGCCCAATCTTCGGCCCACATACCAGACCCCACATCTGCCCAATCTTCGGCCATGCCCACTGCAGAACCAGACCATAGCCGAGACCTCCATTCCCCTATCACTTCAGCTGAGAGTCCTTCCCCGGTTATTAATCTTCACCCCATGCAAACTTGGTCCAAATCTGGCATTTTTAAACCCATACCTATTTTTAATTTGAGCACAGTTGTTAACACACCTGATCCCACATGTTTTTCTTTTGCAAATAAACAACTTAAATGGAGAGCTGCTATGGCTGAAGAATTTAATGCCCTTATCTGTAATCATACTTGGGATTTAGTTCCGTTTGATGCTAGCAAGAATGTGGTTGGGTCTAAATGGATTTATAAAACTAAGTATCTTGTTGATGGGTCTGTTGATCGCTATAAGGCTCGTTTGGTTGCACAGGGTTCAATCAGCAGGCAGATATTGATTTTACTGAGACTTTTAGTCCTGTTGTTAAACCTACTACTGTT